AATTAATCTAAAAAATAAAGTGAAAAAATAACTTTTGTACTTTTTTATTAAAAACTGATTCCTTTAATGCAATCAAATTAAAAATGATAATTTTAAAAGTGATGCAACGATTAATCGACATCAGTATCAGATTAATCTGCCACTTTTTGCAGAATCTGAATCAGTATCAGCATCAGCCTTTTTTTACTACTTTATCAACCAATTTTCAAACCAATGACATTTTTATCCTACATTATAAAAATTATTAAATAATAAATAAACTAAACTTTATGCATTACTTAGAATTTATTTAAGAAATTGTTTACATTGAGTTAGTTTACAAATTTGTTGCTTCTAAAGATGTTTGAAAGCTTTAATTTAACAGCATAATGTACTTATACTTTTATTACCATAATGTTCTTTTTATAATAATTTTATTTTGTCTTTTGAAAGTGAACGATTGTTCAGTTGTGGAGGACAAATTTATTCTTCACAATGAAATAGGTTGGCTCTGGTAACAGGAGAAATGCTTATGTTTTTAAATATCAATATTCGTATACACAATTTTAAATACTAAAAAATGTTACAACTACTATTGGTGCTTTTTTTAGAATCTTCAAATTATTACATTCTATTTGATTTTGAAGTAAATTATTTTATTTTGAGAAAAATGTATGTTTCATGCAAGGCCTTCTTTATTAGAAGGCCTCGACACCGTGCGGGAGATTTTTTGACTGAAGGCCGGTTTTTTGCGGGAGATTTTTTGACTGAAGGCCGGTTATTTTTATTTGGTTTTATTTCTTAAAATAAATTGATTAATATTTTTATGTTTCTATTAGAATTTTAATTTATTTTGTTTTCATGTTTTCTTTTGGTGGTACGGTAAGTGTTTTATTTAGTCATTTTTATTTTTATTTTTATTTTTGCTTTGTAAAAATAAAGATTAATAGAGGAATATTTAAAAATAAATAAGACAAGCTATACAACCAAAACAGTACTCAACCATAATAACAAAAATAAAAAAAAAAATAAAAAAATTAAAGTTTAAAAAACCTGTTTAAAGTTGTAAAAGCTGCTTTCAAAGAAATTTAAAATAAATAATTTATGATGCCTTTAAAATGCTGCGTACCAAATTGTTACTCAAATTATAAGTCTTAAGATTGTAAAATATCTGTATACAAATTTCCTTGTGAAATATCTGAAAAAAACAAGTGGTTTATGAGTATTCCTCGTTCACACTGGACTTTAACAAAATATAGTGTTGTTTGTAAATTGCATTGGCCAGAAGATGCTGAGTTTACTTTATATCGTGGTAAATTAAGACCAATTAATCCTCCATCAGTGTTTCCAAATATATCTAAAAGTTGTCTATCCTCTCCACCACCAAAAATGAGAAAAACTTTATCTTCTTCTTCAAAAAGAGGTATCGAAAAAGATGAATTAGAAGATTATAGAATAATTGATAATTTAAAGTTTGAAGATATTGAAAAATACTTATCTACTGAAAATGATATAGTTACTTACAAGCAAAACAATTCTATTTTTATTCAGCCTAAAATTTTTAATTGTGGGGTTCCACTATTTTTGCTGATAATTAATCAAAGTTTAATGTTTGAAGCATTTCATTATGGTTCAAAATGTACTGTTAAACCTCTTTCGAAAAATAAAATAACTTCATTTAATACAAAGCCAGCTTTAAATGAAGCTCTTAGATATCTAAAAGTTAAAGATAAGGATCATAAAACCCAAGCATTATTTCAGCATCTAAATGTAATGGGAGATCATTCTGTTGGCTTAACTGTATATTCACCTGATATATTAACCACGGCTTTTGAATATTTTGCAACAAGTCATTCCACTTACAACCAATTGTGTTGTGATTATCAGTTGCCAAGTATTCGAACTTTAACTTGTATAACTTCAAAAATAAATTCTCAAGACGATTTGGTTTTTTTAAGTTCTGTGCTATTAAACCTTGAGGAAAAAAAAAGAAATTGTGTTTTATTGATAGATGAAATTTATGTCAAAGCTGCTTTATTATATTAAAGTGGAAATATTTTTGGAAAAGCTGTTAATAATCCAGAGAAATTAGCTACTACTGTACTTTCATTTATGATCAAAAGTCTTTATAGTGGTCCTGAATTTTTAGCAAGAGTTTTACCAGTTACTAATCTAACATCAGATTTCCAACTCGATCAATGCAAGTTAATTATAGACACCATAGAAAGTTCTATATGTAATGGCAAAGTAGTTGCAATTATTACTGATGGTAATAAAGTTAACCAAAGCTTTTTTTCTAAATTCAAAAAAGTAGATGGAAAACCTTGGTCAAAATGTCAAAATAATTGGAACTTATATTTTATATGTCCATCTTTTAAAGTGCATTAGAAATAATTGGCTGACAGAAAAGTTAGGTCAGTTGAAGTTTATTTATAATGAAATATCTTACATTGCAAATTGGAGAGATTTAGTTAACTTATATACACTTGAAAAAAACCAATTATTAAAGTTATCAAAGTTGACTGAAACATCAATAAATCCTAAACCAATAGAACGACAAAAAGTAAGTACTTGTTTGCAAGTATTCAGTGAAGAGACAGTTGCAGCTCTAAAAACTCATCCTAAAAGAGACCAAGAAAGTGTCAAGGGTAGTATTACTTTTTTGGAGTTGATTATAGATTTTTGGAAAATAGTGAGTGTTAAATGTCCTGGTGCTAATCTTAGATTCAGGGATGAGACCCCTAATGTAATTAGATCTTCAGATGATTTTAACTTGAAAAAATTGCTTGCTATTGCAACAATGGCAGAAAATATGAAACCAACATCTGGTAAACAAGTTTAACTGATTTATCTTGCTATCTTTTATCAACTGGAAATGAATATGTAATTTTATGTTGGTTTTCTTCGGATCCGATTGGAAAATGCTTTGGAAAATTACATCAAGGATCAGGTGGTACTTATTTTATAACCGCTAAATCAGTTATTGAAAAAGTACGTATTCAGCATGCTAAGCTGGTGCTGCAGCTAAATATTGATGTAGAAGGAAATGATGACCATGACTGTCTTTTATGTCTTGTAGATTTAGATGATAGGGAAATCGATATTGTTTACAATTTAGCAGATCTAGAAGATAGCATAAATATAGAAATTTTATATTCTATTGTCTATATTGCTGGTTATGTTCAAAAGTGTTCCCCTGAGGAAATTGGAGATACATATTATGAAAAAAATATACAGTTACATATTATGAAAAATACGGAAAATATTTAAATAATTTAAATAGGGGAGGACTAACTATTCCATCTGACACTTTAACTCAATGGCCCTTATTTTGCTATATATTTTTTTCTTTATTAGATAAAAGAGTTTGCAGAACATTCTGATTCGACAGTTTACATTTATTGCAGAATTCTACGAATTTTCTATTTTAAAGAATTAATGCCAAATACTGGCAAACATTTTTTTAAAGAACTTTGCATTACTACACTCTCCTAAAAATAATAAAGAAACTAAACTCAAAGAAATTAAGTTTATGTTAACATTTTTTTTTTCCTATTTAGTACAAAATTTTTATTTTTATATTACTTATTATATCTTTTAAATTGAAAATCTCAATTGAAAATGTTTTTATTTAACTTTATTTTTAAAAGTTATTAATTAACCTCAATAACTTATTTTTGCAATAAGAAATTAAGATTTTTTTCAAACAGACTGTGAACTATTTGTATGTGTTAAATTTTAGCAAAGCTATATAACTTTTACCGGTCCGCCATTTTATTTTTTTTATCGGCCCTCAGTCAAAAAATTTCTGCATGGTGTCGAGGCCTTCTAATAAAGAAGGCCTTGGTTTCATGTTATAAAGTTTTTTTTATTTGCTTTTTTTAATAAGTTTAAATTCTAAGAAAACTGTTTATCTTAATACCATTTTCTTTTCAAAATTGAAATAAAAGGCGTTCCTCTAAAATGTATTTATTTTTTGAAAAAATTTTACTTTTCATATTTAAAAAAACAAAAAAATGTAAATTATTTTAACTGAGCTTTACTTATATCTTTTAAAATAAAGGTTTGGCTCTAATTTGGTCCAAGTATTTGTTTACCAGTTTTGATTCCATGAAAAAGTTTACACGATTTAAAATTGTATGGTTATATATATTCAAAAATTTTAATAATTAATTAATCCATCATTATCGATATTGGTATCACCTTTTCCTATCCACCAGCATTAGTATCAGCATCTGCCATAAATGTGCAATCGCTAATTTATATATTATATAGACCATTGCTAAAATGCAACATTTGTTTTATAAATTTGAACTATTTTTAATAAAAACTGGTAAAAGTTGTTAATTTTAATTTTACAATTTGTTAAAAATGTAAAACTTAATTTTATCACTTTAACAAAAATTGTAACTGCAATATATAAAATTAAAAATAAAACTACAATATTATATAATATAAATTATAAATATAAATAAAAACTATAAGTTATTTAAAAGTATTAGAACATATATGTAAAATATAAAGATTAAAATCTGTTAATAAATGTTGATAAGTTAAGCTGTAAAAAAAAACTTTTCAAAATACTTAATTAAAGCATACTTATAATTATATAATAAATATATAATTATATAATAAAATTATAATAACCGTAATTACTTAGATCAGAGTGTTTTTAAGGACATTTTTTATGATATGCATCATAAATTCTAGCAACCAGTATCAAAAAAGCTTAACAAATAGTTTTAGCAGTAAGAATTTTACTAAATTCTCCCATTTTCACAGCTTACAAACTATAGATGCTTACAAAGGTTTACAAACATAAGATAATTTCTGTTTAATGAGCAAATTATAAAAATTTTAAAATTTATAAAATAAAAATTAAAAGTTACATATCTAAGTTAAGAGTTATATATCTACTTACCTATACAACTATCTACTTACCTATCTAAGTTGGGAGTTACCTAACTAAGTTTGGAATTACCTAACTACCTATTAACCTACCTAAGTTAAAAGTTACCTACTTGAGCTACTGACATAAATGGTCTTATGTCAAGTTCTTCAGGAAAAACAACATTCTTTGATATCTTCCCACCGAACATATTTGTAAAATCAAATCTAAAATAAAGTTTAACTTTTATTATTGGTAGAAATAAAACTTTTATAATTTTATTTTGTTATATAACAATATAAGTACTAAACTTGAATTATACTAAAAATAAAATAAAACCTTTTTAATTGTAACGTGAGAACATTTGGTTCTTTATAAATGCTGTTACGCTTTTGAGCAACAGTTTTCATTCTGCATCTTTAAAAAAAAGTCAAAAAAAAATTTATAATGGTAGCTACAGATTTTTATTTGTTAAAAATTACACAACAAAATTTATTTTAATATTTATGGATTACAGTTTGATAGAAATAAAAATACATTTTGCTTAAATTCAATTTCAAATGAAAAAAAGTTCTATTTAAAGTATTAAAATCAGAAACAAAATTATTTAATATTGTTTTTATGTTTGCATTGATTATAGAAGATTTTGTTGAACTGCTTTTGAGGAATTTTAAAACAAGCATGGTCATGAAACCCTAAGTTTAAGAACTTACAGATTTTGCGTCACTAAAAAATATCAATAATTTATGATTATTCCGAGAATCTCATTATCATTATGTTTAATTGGTTCCAAAGGTATAAATAATTTAACTTTGCCTTAAATCAATAAAAAATTAAATAATGGTTTTTGTTTCTGTTATGTGTTACATATTTTGGGTTAAGGAATCCAATAAAACAACTTTGAATTAAATTTATGTTAAAATAAATATAAACAAAAATTATTGCAACAATTTTGCAGGAAAAAGTATTGATTAAAAAAACATTTTTTTACAAATAAGAAAATTGTCTATTGTTGGTTTTTATAAGTAGATGATGAACAGATGAATAGAACATTTATATTCTTAAAAATAAAACATTTCCAAGAATATCACTGTTACTGATTTAACAAAATTCTTCTAAAATGAAAATTAAACGTGCAACCTTTGGCAGGAGTTAATGATTACACAAGCAATAAAAAGGCTGTTTAATACAGATTTAGCAGCTGTTAGTTATTTGTGCTGGCTATCTGCATTTGCATAAATTTATTTCAGGAAAATAAAACAGATATTCAACATAAGTTGCTCTGTTTGTGATGATGTTGATCATCAACATTTTTTGTGTACAAATTTTTATACACAATATTATTTAAAAATATTAAAAAATTAAATTTAATTAAATTAATTAAATTTAATTAATCATTATTAAAAAATACTTGGTTATCAATAAAATTTATTGTTTCTCACATGGAAGTTCTGTTTATTATAAAGCTATAAAAACTTTTAAAACCACTAACTTCCATATCAAAGATGGGTACTGCTAGCAACCAAGAAAATTTGCTAGTGGTAGTATAGATGGTACCACTAAGAGGACAACGACCATTGGAAAACCAAATATCAATAATAGCTACCATGCTTGGGTTTTGTATCCCTTTGTATATGATGTTTAAACACAATCATATTTATAAAATTACCAAGGAATTAGCAACACTCAGTCGACAATATCAAAAGGAAGAACTTGATATGGGTTCCAGAGACCAGAAATTACCACCATTATAAAATATTTCAAATTTTGAAACTAGTTTTAAAAAAACAGGTGAGCATTAATTTGCAGAAAAAATATATACTGTCTTAATACAATAATAATAATTGCAGTTAGATATATACCATAAAAAGCCGCATTTGATGTTCACATGAAATTATTCTTTGAACTGTTTTTAATATGAAAATGGACATTTATGATATATAAAAGAAAAACAATTTTTTACAACTAGATTCGTGTTGTACAGAGTTCCATTATTAGGTCAATAACAGAGAACATTATTTTCAGAACAATTTGAGTTGATTTTGCCTCCAAAAATGTTAATAATTCAAAATATTTTACCTCTCACAGTAGTATTTATTATCTCCTTCCAGCCGGTCAGCACAAACAGATCGCTGCAATGCTTGAATAACAGTGGAACAATCCTAAAAGTTATTTTTATTTGCAAAAATAAATGTTGATAATGTCAGATTAAATGTTGATAATGTCAGATTTTGTTATGATAAAGGGAACTGAAAATTTATTTAGATTATTTAACAAAATTTAAGTTAAAAAATTAATTTATAAAAATAGTTAATTAAAAAATAAAATTTATATCAAACAAATAATTAGAATTACATTACACACAGGGTTTGAAGAATATTCTAAGTTACTAAAAATTATCCCAAAACACCTTATTGTATATCACAGTTTGAAGGATATAGTATTGATTTGAATTGCACTACATTTAATCAATTGCATGTGGGATATGTACTATATATTTTCTTACAATTGATGCTTGAGCACGGGACACATGCAAGTACGATTTTTAAAGCTTGTTACTTGAGCATTTTGTTTTACTTAAGGTTTATTTATTCTGTTTGTATATCATCTGTATTTTAGAGTTGAAAAAAAACTAATTTAAATTTAAAAATAACCTTTTTCATTTACACTTGTGAAGCCGCTGCAAAATGTACCCGTAAGCAATGGGTTAAGATTTGAACAATTTTACAAAACATATATCACACACATGCCTATTAATTAAAGAAACTCCAAAGTACTATAAATTTGTTATTTCTATATTTTTTTAATTTTTTATTTTCATATATTTTAATTTTTTTAATTTTAAGTGTTTTTCCTGATTTTCAGAATATGTTGATGTGAAGAAACAGTTGATGTGAAGCAATAATTGGCCAAGAAGTAATTTGCTACAAACAATTTTTTTTTTAATGAAGACTTCTTAGATTAGATTTCATTTAATTTCCAATAAAAAAGAAATATTAATTATAAACTTCATTATACTCAAAGGTATAATGAAGTGCCAATTATTGTACTATTTATAAATTGCCTTGTAACACATTTGATTCATAAATATATAAATTTCCAAGTTCCTATTGCTTGTACTGCCATGCTCAATTTGTTTCTCTGTGCAGCAGCCTTGTATTTTAAGGTTCATGCTTTGGAATTAAAAAGTTAAGTAAGGGTAACCACAATAAATTAGCCTCCTTGACCATAACAAACCTCTCGGCCTTGGGTAGCTGAATAATGAAAAAAGTTAATTAAAAAAGAAATTTAAAAAGTTAATTAATAAATTTATACATAGAGCTTATAAGAGATTTATAATGTAAATATACATAGAGCTTATAAGAGATTTATAATGAGGTTTGTTTTTCTCCTAAACGCATATCGTTGATAGCTCAGTGGTTTAGTGTGATGTAATCGGTGTCGTTTCAGATGGTTTAAGACCTTCCCTTAGCGCAATAAATTTTGAAATTTTTTTAATCTTTAAATTTTTTAAAAATCCTTTAGTTTGTTGTAGTGTATAATATCTTTACATATGTTATGTATATAATATCTATATAACTTTAAAAGTTTTATTTTGTATTTTAAAAAAATCGAAAAAGATTAAAACAAAAAAGTTGCCAGTGGTAGGATTCGAACCACAGCTTCGCCATTCAGAAGTTCTGCAAGATAACCACTTGGCCATGCTGGCATATTGATTGTTGAAAATTTAAAAAAAAAATTTTATAATAAATGAAAGACTTAAAAAAAAGAAAATAAATGGAATAGATCAAAATAAAGGAAATGTTGTCGCAATGCCATTTTGAAGTGAAAGTTAAACTGTAAAACTTGGTACATGTTTTAGTATGTTTTAACATTACATAATTTGAAGTTTACATAAGTTAGATATTTGCATACACTTCCATTTACATTTTTTTATAAAAAAGTGTGCTACAACTTTTTCTTGCCACTACATCAGTTGCAATGGTTGCCAAGAGTTCTGTGTCAAACATGCTCAAGAGGGCACAACTACACCTACTAATAGCACTATTAAGTTTGGCAATAACATTTAAGATACAATCTTTAGAAGTAAAATTGCAAGAATAATAAATTAATGAAGAAAGATAGTAAGAACTAATAACCAGTCATTCCTAAGGTTTGAAAAACCTAGTCTTAAACCTGAGTGAACAAGAAATAATTATGTTATAAATTTGCTAATAGTATTTTAAATTTTAAGAATTTAAAAAAGTGTTGAAAAAATGTCACCTTAACATCCAAGTTTATATCCATCATAGTTTCAAATGTATTTGAATCAAAGTTGCACTTTAAGCATTTAACTGAAAACATTGTAAATATACAAATTAACTAACTACAATAAAGAATAAAAAATAAAAAAATGATAACCTAAGGATTTGGATTAAAAAAATAACTTTGTTTAAAAAAATATGAAAAAAAAAAGATCTTATTCAAATATTCAGATAATAATAACTAATAACTAATAACAATAACTAAATATTGCTTTATAATATTTTAATAATAACCTATTAAGTAACAACATTTAAAAGTACCAATCAATAATAACCCAGGCCTTGGGATAAACCGGGAGCAATCGCTCCTGTCACGTGAAACACACTTTTTCATAAATGGAATATTTATAAATTGCAGGCGTGATAAAAAATGCTGGCTAATTTAGTAACGAGAGTAAAAAATCACGCTTGTCCTAAAAATTTGAGAGGGAGAAAACTAATAATGGTTTATTTGATTTTATATTAAATTTTTTTGTAAAAAGGTTTTGTTAAAGATTCTTGTTTAATTAAACAAAAAAGTTCACTTATTGTTAAAAACAAAATAATCTCTATACAAATATCTTTAATTACGCTTTTTCAACTGAGGTAAAATGTTAGAGCTATACTTCAATTAAAAAACTCATTTTTTCATGTTAACTTACGCCATTCTGTTGAAATTATAGTGCAAATTTCTATGAACAATGAATGGTAATTTGTGAATGAGACTTTTTTATATAAAACGTTTACAGCAAACATTTAACAAATTAAATAAAAAAAATTTTATTTATATAAGTTTATTAATAATATTAAATTGTGTAATAAATACAAATTAATTATGAGAAATGTTGTTAATTTAATTTTGTAAAAGCATTTTCTAAAATCCATATGTATAATGATAAAATGTTTTTATTTAATTTCAAAAAAAATATTTCTAAAAACGTTGTGTTTTGAACAGAATAGTTTGCTTATTGTTAAAAAACAAAATTATCACATTTTTAATTGCGTTTTGGCAGTCGAAGTAGAACATTTAAAAAAACTCAGCACTCTAACAAGAGTTAAAAAATAACACTGTGCCTCAACATATGATGAAATATAAAACTATTAAATATAAAATATAATTATTACAAATTTTAGTTATTATTAGTTTTTAAAAACCTTTCTTATGACGTAAATGATTATGATTTATGATATATGTTAAATGGAATTTAACATAATATATATCATAATTCATAATCATAATAATTATATTCACTTAAACGTAATAACAAGGTAGAAAAATTAATTCCAAAAGTGCTAAAACTTTTAATTGTTCTTTAAGTTAATAGCCCAATGTTAATAGAAAAGAATTTTAACAAATCTTTAAAAAATTTTATTATTAAAGTTATTATTTAAATAAAATGTTTTTGGCCAAAATTTAACTAAATTTAAAAAGCTTTTATTATTAAAATTATAACTTATATTATTTATTACTTAATTAAAATTACAAATTTGTTTGAGAAAAAGAAAAGTTTAAGTTTGGTAATAAGTTTGCTAAAAAGGTTATAAAAGTTGTATTAGCGTTAACTATCAAAATACATTAAATATGTTTTAACGAAAAGAAATCGCTATTTCATTGTTTAAATGTTTTAATGATATGAAAATATTATGAATTTATATTTTAATTAAACGAATGAAACAATGAAAAAAATGAAAGTTTGTGAACTTCTTTCAAATAAATTCGAAGTAATAATAAAAAAAAATTGACTGTAGTATTAAGTTAAAGATGAAGACAATAACAAAGAAAATACATAAAAGATAAATTTATTACTTAAAACAAGATCATTAAGAATTAGGTGAAAAAAAAACACAATCAGATGCGATCAAATAATAAATAAGTATCTAGGAAGTCGAAAGAATTTTAAACATTTTGTCAGGCAGTGTGCTGTAAACTAATAATTTTAAAATATTTATCATCTAAAGAACGCTGTATAACAAATGAAAACTTAATAAAATTGTGTGGAACACTCATATTCAAAAATAAAAGATCTCTCCCGATAACTTAATGATGAGCGCACATTATTGCGCTCGCTAAAAAAATATTTGAATTTTACGGGCACTAAACATCGCGCTGGACAACATTCTTTATGCCAAGGCCTGATAACCTATTAAATAAAATTTAAACTTGAATCATCAGCAGTGGTTAGTTATTTTACCTATTTTATTTTATTTTTTTAATTAATCAATATTTTATATTATAATTTGTTTAATTTAAATACCTGGACTGAGCAAGAATAAAGTGTAGAAGCACTGACTGATGATAAAATAACTACAATTTACAAAACAAAAAATTACGCTCATTTTTAACTTTGTGCAAATGAGTTTCGAATTTAAAAGATAAAATTATTTGAAGCTAATTTTCTGTATAATAAACATTTTATTTAACATTTGATTATACATTGACATATAAGATTATATCTCTTATATGCCAATGATCTAAATAAAAAAATAAGTTTTTGTCAAATACTTTATTACTATTCAAAACTCCGAACAAGATGAATAAGGAAATTGAAACCAAGAACAATTGCTTAGAAACATTAATGAGAACATCGAGAACAAGACTCAAGAAACTTTCCACAACAAGATGGACCATTCGGGCAGAATTTGTTAAAAGAGTCATCAATAACTATGAATCACTCTGCAACTTTGGAACGAATATAAGAAAGAAAAACTTGACCAAGAGACAAAAGCAAGAATTGTTGGTAGCAAGAGCCAGGTGAAATCCTTTTGCTTCTTTTTTAGCATCAATCTTTCTTATAAGCTTTACACCATGTCTGATAACTTGTTAAAATCTCTTCAGTTGGCAAAGATGTCAGTGGAAAAACAAAGATGTCAACCAGTGGAAAAAAATCTGCATATTTAGTGATTAATACAATAAAAAATATTAGAAATGATGACAACATCCGTTTGTTTTTTGTGATGGTTAAGAAAGCAGCAAATCTAATCAAATCAATTTAAAAACCTACCTTGCCAAGGAAACGAAAAGAGTCAAATTATTCCCTTTTTCAATATATTATTGATTACAAAGAACAATCAAGCAATGCCTATTACCCATAAACAGCAAATAATTATTTATATATTTTGAAGCTCTTAACACAATTACTAATGCAATTGATTCAAACAACCATCATTCAAGAAGTTTATGAGCGTTGCCCAATAATCCATAATAATTGGATCATTATCCAAATCGTGATAAAATGTGGAGCTACATCGACCAGAACGCTTCTTTTCAAAGTAGAGGGTCAAAAGATTGCTCAGATCAACAATGGCTCAAAAAAGATTTTTTACACACATTGATATTTTTAATAGTCTATCTTTAGTAGAAGTAGCAATTTACTGCTCCACAGGATAAACGCAGGAGTGAGTTGAACATTTTGAGTGGAACATTTACTATAAAAAACTTTAATTAGATTTTTTATCAAATTTTTTCAATTTTTTCAGTATTTGAAGATACTTTCCAAACAAAATTGTTTGGAAAGTATCTTTCAAAATTGGGGCAACAAAAGTTTTTTTGAAACCCCAAAAACATTTGAGTTTAGATATTTAACTTTGCCCCCCCCCCCCCCCCCAACACACACACACCAGCTTTATTGCACGTTGTGGCCCATGTAATAACCTATCAAGTAACAACATTTAAAAGAATTAGTCAATAATAATCTATCAACAAGTTTGGTCGGGAAACTGGAGCGATCGCTTTCATTTACTGACCAGTTGCAAAAAACTGGCAAGATTTTTTAGTTGTTTTGAGAACATCTCAAAGAGCAAAAAAAAAGTGCTTAAGATTATTTGGACCAATGAGAGACAATTACAAAAAAAAAATATGAAAATAAAATATCTATAATGCCAAAAAAGCAAAAATAATTACGTTTAGAACAAATATTTTCGAAACATCGCTCTTTTACAGTAACATCTTACGATTGTTTAAAAAGGAAACAAATGTTCTTTATTTAACAAAGAGTGTAATATAATTTTTATTTATATAGTCGTGTCTTTTCTTTAGTGCTAGATTAAGGAGGATTGGGTTAGAGGGGGCTATAGCCCCAGGCTCTGCAATGTAAGGGGCCCCAAAAAAGTCAAGAAAACCTTTTTTATAGTAATTTTTACGCTGTGGCACATAAAAAGGCCTCCAAAATAAAAATAGCCCCCAGCCCCGAAAAGTCTAACAAGATTTTAATAAAACTAACACAAGTTTTAGTTTTATTTAGGCTAAATTACTTCATAAATAAAAAAGTTAATTTTTATAATAACTACTTCATGCTTTGCTTAACTTGAAAAATTTAACATATTTGAAATAATTTTTCTTAGTAAGATGAACAAATGAAATAATTAAATCATTGAATTACTATAGAAATTAAATTAACTAGATAGAAATCAACTAAAAAGTTTATGACTTTATGAAAATACTTAATGACAAGGAAGCAAAATTGCTTCACAATATCGCTGATGATGTTTAGTGAGTGAGCTTTTTAAGAATAGCAACCAGTGTCGCCGAGAGTGGGGGTCGCGAGGGACAGTTTGTCCCAGTCGACAGATATCCAAGGGTCACTAAATGAAATGTAGGTACCTAAAAAAAAAAAAAAAAAAAAAGGTCCTTTATATATAATATATGAAAAATTTGATAAATAAAGGCGCCAATCAGGATTACTGTCCCATGCTAGAAATAGTAAAACATAACAAATTTCACATTAAAATTTCAACAGAATACAGAATACCGCACCTAGATGTTTCAAGAACATTCAAGTTTATGTATGTTTTCATGAATGTCTGGAAAACAAAATTTTTTTGTTACATACATAAACTTAAATGTTCTGAAAACGACTAAAAAACCTAACTAGTTCCTCGCAACTAAATATTATTTCCATGGTCAGTATTCGAGAGCGATTGCTCCCGCTTTCCAACCAAGCCTGTATCAAGAAACAACATTTAAAAGAATCAATCAATTGTCAAGTAAAAGATTTCTTTTTTTTAACTTTTTTTTAAAGAAACTTGTTAAAAATTATGATATATGCACCAGGAGTTGTTTTAAAAAATTACTTTTTTTGTTATTTTTGAATTAAATTTAAAAAATAAATAAAAACTAAAGTTAAAATAATTTAGTAAAAAATATATATAAACTAAAATTGTTTAGTGTAATTTAAAAAAATTTTACATATAAAGAAATCATATTTATCAAATAAAATTCAAACTTTGTATCATTGAGACAAAAATAGTTTTAACTTGTATAAATACATTTTGTATGTGATTGTGCCTATAATTAAAACCTAAAACTATTTGTTGATGTACTTAATGTTTCTTTTACTTATAAAAAGTTACTAAAATTATTTGTTCAGTTAATAAAAAAAAACATGTTTTCTTATGTTATAAATGTCAATATATAAATATAATATAAAATTTTTTCAGCTTTGACTAAGAACTTTGGCTAATATTACTTTTTCATATGCCAGGGTTAGTTAAAAAGCCAGATTTAGCAAGAGATTTGGTCAGCAACTTGTACAAAGAACTTGTGTAAAAGACCAGATTTAGCAAGAGTTTTGGTCAGTTACTTGTACAAAGAACTTGTTTAAAAGACCAGATTTAGCAAGAGGCTTGGTCAGTTGGTCAGTTGTATTAAAAGTTGTATTTTTTAATTTAAAAAAAATGTTTACCTTGACTTCTGTATAACCCACCAAAAATTGCATTTGCAACAGATGTTTCTTTTGAAAACTTGTCTAAACTGTATAAAAAACTAATAAACCTCAAAATATTTAAATGGTTAAAATAACTTTTTAGGTCTTAAAACTTTTCAGCTGCTTTATAAGTTAACAACATCAAAGCTCTGGAGGTGAGCTTCGACAAGTTTAGTTTTTATTGATATTCATTTATTATTTGGATTTAATCAAAATTATTTAACTCAAACATTTTTTTTAACATTTTCTTTAATAGGAACACAACTTGTGTTGAAAATCTCTTTGAAAATAAAAAAAAATTTATCTTTTTTATGTATGAAAAAATTAAAACTCTTAAGTATTTAATTTGACCCCATTCTACTTCATATATTTTTGTTTTGCATTTATTCCCATAAGTTATTTTTGTTAACATTTCGAATATTTATATCTTTAACAATCTTTAGCTATTTTTAATTATTTAAACTTTTGAAAAATTAAAACTCTTAAGTATTTAATTTGACCCCATTCTACTTTATATATTTTTGTTTTGCATTTATTCCCATAAGTTATTTTTGTTAACATTTCGAATATTTATATCTTTAACAATCTTTAGCTATTTTTAATTATTTAAACTTTTGAAAAATTGGTTTTCAAATTTTTCAAAAGTTTAAGATAAATTTTTTTTTATTTTCAAAGAGATTTTCAACACAAGTTGTGTTCATATTAAAGAAAATGTTAAAAAAAATGTTTGAGTTGAATAATTTTGATTAAATCCAAATAATAAATGAATATCAATAAAAACTAAACTTGTCGAAGCTCACCTCCAGAGTCTTTATAATATATGTCACTATCTACAACATAATTTATTTCATGTTTAATTTGTAAAAGTTTCAGTATATGATGTTATCTACCACATAACTTATTTCATGTTTAATTTGTAAAAGTTTTAGTATATGATGTTATCTAGCACATAATTTATTTCATGTTTAATTTGTAAGAGTTTCAGTATATAATGTTATCTACCACATAATTTATTTCATGTTTAATTTGTAAGAGTTTCACTATATGATGTCATCTACCAACATCTAATAACTTTTTCTTTGTAAAAAAGTGGGTGGGGACCAAGAGCCGATCACTTATGTTTAATGTTACTAAATAATGAAGTATAAATACTATATTTTTTTAATATTATCTTCACATTTTTTTTTTTTTTTTTTTAACATCTTTGCTTCCAACAAGGCTGCACGCAACCACTAATTAGTGTTGGAAGTTACTGGAAGAGAAAAGATGAAGATTGTAGAGCAAGATAACGATTGACAGACGACTTAAAAGATTTCAAATTATATGAATCAGGAAAGCAAGATAAAGGAAACGAACTCCAAAAAACTAATGTTCGAGGAAAAAAATTAGATGAGTAAGAGTTTTTGGAGCACTTAGGAACAGTAACAGTAAAAAGGATGAGACTTAATTAAATGACGAGTAACACGAGAACGAATTTTAGTAGATGGTACAAGAGACGCTAGGTCTTTAGAGCAGTGCCCATTATAGTATTTGTAGAAAAGAGAAAAAGAAGCAACATTACGACAATGTGACAGAGGTTGAAGGTTAGCTGCAAGAGCAGGTCCAACTATATTTACAATGCGTTTTTTCACCTTGTCTAAAAGAGAAAGGGCATCATTAGAAGATCCGCCCCAGATATAGCAACAGTATTCCATACAAGGCCGGATTTGAGATTTATAGAGATAGAGAATAGAATCCAGAGTAAGAAAGTGTCGAACTTGATAAAGAGAAGCAACTTTAGCAGATGCTAATTTTGCAACGGATTTGATATAAGGTTTCCAAGAAAGATCAGAAGTAAGAGTTAATCCTAGAAGAGGAAGGGTAGGAGACTCATCGAGTACATTACCGTTCATAAAAATAGGAAGGTCTAAATTATTGCGATAACGATTGGCTGAAAAAAATTCATCTGAATTATCTGAATTTATCTGAATTAAAGTTCACCAGCCACTGTGAGCCCCATGCTGTAGCAGAAGTAAGATCCTTTTCAAGCTCAAATGCCCCCTGCAAGCAATCAGAAGGAGTTGGCTTCTTATCGTGACAAGAATAAATGGTAGTATCATCAGCGAACAATACCACCTTAGATGAGAGAACATCTGGAAGATCGTTAATATAAATTAAAAAGAGTATAGGGCCAAGGATTGAACCTTGAGGAACCCCTGAGGTTTATTAATAAAATTTATATAATTTGTCAATGTAAGAATATATTTATATCAAATTGTAAAACTTTTATTACTTATTTTATATACCTGAAGTTTCAGTGACAGAATTCTAATGGTTATTGGCGAAAATTTATCAAGTGTATTATTGAACATGTATTATGTTCATAAGGAACATGTTATTTGTCTATTATGTATTATGTTCATAAGTAACATGTTATGTTTATCTATGTTCATAAGTAACATGTTATGTTTATGACTGAAATATGAAGTGAATATTTCAACTTTTATTTATTGGCCATTAATGTAATATTTATTGAACTTTTATTGAACTTAATTTATTTAATATTTACTTAACTTCATATTTCAGTTTATGAATGAAATATGAAGTTAATTATAAAAGCCCTATTTACCAAGTAAACAACTACCATATTTAATTCAAGTAAGTTTTTAACTCTAGATTAATTAAGTTAATAACTTTTTACCAGAAATAGCAAACTAAATTTTGAAGAAGGTTCATTAGCTATGTAAAAAGTTACACAAGGATATATATTAGGTGCACTGATAGCAACATTTACTTCCAAAAGTTTTAAGCTCATTTTTCAATAAAAGTTAAATTTTAGCTAACAAAAAATTAACTTATTTTCTTATTACTATTCAGAAAATGATTCTCTACAGCATAATCAAAAAAATACTTTCAAAAGGTTTTTTTAATAATTAATTAAGAGTAAAAGAATAAATATTATTAAAACTATTTCATTAAAGCTTCTGAAAATGACTAAAAATCGGTACCTGACCTTTTTCGAAGATGTTGAATCCAAAGATGAAGAGAAAATAAAAATAAAACTGAATTCAAATTTTTAGTTAATCATTTTGTAGTGACTTATCGGTCATTTTTGAAGCTTCTGATTTTAAAAATGAAAAATTTGATGATCATTTTTTTATATTAAAAAGGTTAAAACAAACTTTTTTTTTTTCAATATGTTATTAAATGTTACAAGTTGCATAAGGGTGGTAGAGGTGTAGGAGTAGAGCGCTTGCTTGCCACAACACCCCCTCTCCTACATTGTTGTACATTTTGGGTCAAAAACTCTGATGGCTTGATCTGAGAAAATGGTTAGCATTGGGTGAAAGTACATTCATCCCTGGTACCTGGGAACTTTTTATGGTACCTGGGAACTATTTTGTTCGCAAGAATAAATTAAATTTGAAATTTCTTTTTATTTTTTCTCAAAATGAAATGACAGCTTACAAGTTTTATTTGCATTTCTATAGTATAAACATTTTTTTCTAAATAAATACAAACTAAATTGAACAGAAAATAACAACTTTCTATAATATCTTCTCAAAATTAGCAAAAAAAGTAAACACACATTCTTCAAAAATAGTAAAAAGGTATTATTGATTCACTATAGACTCTACAACATTAAACAATTACAAATGCTTGCTATTGTAATCCACTATACAGCATTTTAATCTGTTTGCATACTCAGGATGTGATGAAGACCTCATATATCTCTGCCAATAGTTGTTGAAGTGTTGATGAGTTGATTTAAGGGCTTGTTCACTGAAAATTCTAAGAGGTGTTTTTTTTCTTGCAATAAATTCCTGCACATAATAAAACACTGCATGTACCTTGGGTGTGACACTTCCTTGAGGAAGAAAAAGATAGGCCCTTTTGAAGTTGTCAATTTTTTCAGCATAATTGGGATCAAGTTCTTGACCAAAGCAAGCCTTGACAACATCATTGAATTTCCTCAGTGTGTTGGTAATTTCTACAACTTGAAATGCAGCATTTGATTCAATAACCTGCTGTAAAAGGTCCATATTGTTAAAAAGTTTTCTACAGGCATTGCCTGCAAACTGCCCTCCATGGTAAGATTTATGGTGAATACGCAGTTTAGCAGGCCATTTTTCTACCTTTGGCCACAAGTCTTTCATAACCTTGAACAAATGGTTGGCTACACCAAGAAGCAAGTGCAGCTCCATTGGGGGAAGAATGTCTACGATAAGTCTGTCATCAGATCCTGTCAGAATGGGCTTATGAGCAACATTGCCATAGACCCTCGCCTTCCTATGATCACTTCCTGATGATTCAAAATCATGATACTTGGCTTTGAGTGATTCAATTGTTCTGCTCTCACCACATAACTCCAAGTTCTTTGATTCCACATTGCACCATGAACAAGGATGGGAACGGAGTGTGATTGAAGTCCAAGGAGGTTTGCTATTTTCAAATCATAAGAAACAACAAGATCAATCTGATTTGGATTTATGAGTGACCAAATTTGCTTCAGGCTGTCATATGACTCTGGTAGATTCTCAGCAATAGCAATGATTAGTTGTCTAACACTGGTATCTTTGGCCTAAATTTGTGTAAGAAGTTGTTGTTTGTGGGGAGGTGAATGCAGTTCTTTAGAAGATTCATCTACAACACACCAAGAGTGAATTTTAGGAACCCACCTCCACCATCTATACCAAGCTTAAAGAAGTGACTGCAGAATATTTTTCTGTACATCAATACTTCATCAATTATATCTGGCATAGATTTGCAGTGAATGACCAGATGACCTCCTGAATTTACTTGCTTTTCTCCCGTGGGTATTTAATTCTGGGTAAAGAAGTCTGAGAGAGTTTTTCCAAAGTTGTCAAATTTTGACCGAAAATTTGGTTCTACCACTTTGGAATTGGCAAATTGGTTCAAGGTGGATGCTAATACTTCATGCCAAAGTTAGACAATCCAATATTTTGTTGGACATGAACAAGGCTTTTTGTAGTGATTGGAAAGTCATCATAAAGTTTTCTTGCACTTGAAGGACCTACAAGTAAATTGAATAAAATTGTTGAAAACTCACTAGAAAGCAGGCTTGTTAAAATAATCTTAAGTTATATGCCTTTGGAGCCATCAATGTTTAAATCAAAGCTAAATCAAATTTAAGAAACAATGCAGTCAAAACAATAAGAAATAAAACAGTACCTGGTGTAACTTTTAAGGGAGGGCCTCCTTCGGGCCTTGACAACCGCATTGTGCCATTGGGAGATGATTCCTTTCTTGAAAGTCTTATTTCACATTAAATCACTTCAGTATCAAAGGAAATGATATATTTTATACTAGCTATGTAAAATCTATTCTATCTTACAGTTGCATTTTCTGAAAATGGTATTTCTCAGGCTTATTTTGTACCTAGTGAACTCGCTGTAAATCTAGAAATCTACTTAAAAAAAATGCATTAAGAAGAGAATTATTTCATTCATGGATAACTATCATTCAGATGGCCTTTGGAGTATTTTAAAAGGTCTTGTCTGCAAGAATAATTGGCATGCAGAAAATCTTAAAAAATCATGCTCTAGAATCAACTATTGCCTTATCAAATTTGATATTGAGCTTGTATGGAGTTTAGCTCAGTCTTTACCAGGCCAAGTTGATAAAGCCTTTAAGAATGGTTTAATTGAAAATAACTGATTATATATAGAATATCTAGAATAAAATCTAGAATAAAAATACTTTCAAAAACATTTTTCTGTTTTGTTTTACCTTAAAAGAGATAAATGTCTTTAAATCCAGTCTCGTTTTTCATTTGTCACTAGTTAGTTTTGTTGTATTTTTAGCAAGGATTGTATTATTATAAACAGGCTTGGACAGGAATGGCCTGCAATTGCACGCTGTAACTGACCACGCTTATGATATTTTTTTACAATTTGAGCATCGTCGTTATGATGTTTTAAATGCTATAAAATAAATTGTAACGTTATAAATAACTTTTATTCGTTGATCTTTTCTTAATTTTTTATTTATTTATAAATAAAATAAAAAGAAATTATAGTGATTGTTTAAAATAAGCATACTTTGTGTAAATTAACAAAATTATATTTTATTTTTTTTTAAGTTGGCGTGTTTTATGATAAATTTAAATGTAATAATTTGTTTGAAACTTTTTTTCCATGTCTTTCTAAAAATCTTTTAAAAAATAATTTTTTAAGTAACTTCAAATTATAAATAAGTTTAATTAAATCTTTCGTTGCAATGGAATGATTTAATTGCTTTATTATTTTATTTTTTTTTGTTTCTATTTTTGCAAAAAACTGTTTAAAACTTTTTTTATCTTGACAAACTAATCAGAGCATGAAATGAATAAGAAGGTATTTTTAAAAACAATTTTTTTTTACAACTTCTTTGAAAAAATAAATATTTATCCAATTTAAAAATAATATATATAACACATTTTAGTAATATAATTTTTTTCATTCATTAAACAATGATTAAAAGTAATTTGTAAAAAAGTATTTTGTAGAACTTAAATAAAATAGATTTTTAAATTTCTTTCAAACTTTCGAACTTTCAAATAGATAAATTTTATAGTAAATTATTGTAAACGCAATTAAAAACATAACAAAAAGTAAATTTTGCTTGATCGTTTTGAGTTTTATTGTAGTGAAAATACATTTTCTTTTTTTGTGAGGAATTGTTTTTTATTTTCATTATTAATTTTTTTAATTTTCTTACTAGTTTAGGTTTAGCGTTTTAGTGTTTCTTTTTTCAGCGCATTTCTAAAATGTTTAAAAATCATTTTAACATCTAAACAGATATAGTTAAGCGCTATTGCTCAGCAATAGCGCTCGATTGCACGCCATTCCTGTCAAACCCTATATATATTCATATTTTATTATTAAAACAGTTGTAACTTTTAATGACATTTATATGAGTGTGTGTACTGTCAATCAAGTTAAATGTGATTTTTTTTTTTTTTATTTTAATTCACCTCCTCAAGGCCGAGAAGGCCACTACAGACGAGGAGGCTACTTAATTATGGTTATAACCCTCTCTCAACTCTATAACTCTGAAACACGAACCTTGACGAGCAAGGCCGCTGCGCGGAGAAACGAGTTGAGCGCGGTACTACCAGGGACGTGGTGGGGATCGAACTCGGAACCACTCGTTTATGAAGCGAGCGCTCTACCACTACACCACTACCGCATAAATCAAATTAAATATTTAGTAAAGAGCAACATCAACAACTAGTAGAAACTCCAACTTAAAACACCCCCTGCCTTGGGGCTTATGGTTGAGATGGTGTCTCAATAAAAATACTCATCTTGGGCAGATGTTAAACGCATCTGGCTACTGTATTGTAGAAGACCTCCTAGGCAAAAACTTAAGGGTCAAACAGATTCTTTCTGTTGACCAGCCTCGCTTCATCTATTCGTTCATCTTTCTGTTGACTCTTCTTCATCTATTAGGCTGGCGCAAATGTAATTTTAATACAATATTTCCAGTTTATAATGTTGAACGTTGGATCTTCTTAACTCAATGTATGGGTTTTGGTTGTGTCTCTAAAACTCAGTTTTATGGTTCTGAGACTGGCTGGTAGTCAGGTACTGGCTGGTAGTCAGGTTTCACGTTTTTTTTTTAAAGCAAAATTAGCATCTGCTTAGGTTACATCTCTTTATGCTTGACACTTTCTTACTTTCTCCAGATTCTATTTTTTATCTCTATAAATCTCAAATCCGCCCTTGTATGGAATACTGTTGCCATATCTGGGGCAGATCTTCTAATGATGCCCTTATTCTTTTAGACAAGATGCAAAAACGAATTGTAAACATAGTTGGACCTGCACTTGCAGTCAATCTTTAACCATTATCACATTGTTGTAATGTTGCTTCTCTTTTCTATAAATACAATAATGGGCACAGCTCTAAAGAGCTAGCGCCTCTTGAGCCATCTACTAAAATTCATTCTTACGTTACTCGTCATTCAATTAAGTCTCATCCTTTTTCTGTGACTGTTCCTAAGTTTTTTTCCTGGAACACCAGTTCTTTGGAATTCGCTTCCTTTATCTTGTTTACCTGACTCATATAATTTGCAATCTTTTGAGTCGTCTGTCAATCGTTACCTTGCTCTACAATCATCTTTTCTCTTGCAGTAACTTCTAACTCTAACAGTGGGTGCTTGCAGCCTTGTTGAAAGAGAAAATGTTGAAAAAAAAAAAAGTTATCAACTTATTAAACGTGTACTTTTTATTGCAACATAAAAAAAATGGTTTTTCAAAAAGCATTTACTTAATCAATTAATCTATTATTTATTTAAAAATCATTGCGTATTGTTTTGTTTATTCAAAAAAGTATAATTTATTTAATTATTTTAATTATTGTTAGTATATAAATAAAAATCTCATTTGTCAAAAATGCAATAGTTTCGAAAAAAAATGAAATGCTTACTTTGGTTTACCAACATAGTCACTTTTTTGAATTCCTTCCACAACATAGCGTAAAAACTCATGAGCATCCTCTTGACGACCAAATCGAAAACTTTTACCGATAACTGAGAAAATAAAAAAAAAATTCACTAAGAATATTGATATTGATTTCTGCTGATTGACGCAATTTTATTACTGCTGATTGATGCAATTTATAATTACTATAAACTGTTTTAAAAAATTTTTAAACTATCACAAAAAAATACACATTTATATAAATAAGAAATATATATATAATATCAGCCCTCAATATTAGGGTTGGCATTTGGCTATGCCAAACTAACTTCTAACCTTTTTTGAGGTCTGCAAAAAATTTAAGGATGCATGGCTTTAAATTGACGTGAAATCAAGCAGGGCTGACAACTGTAATACACTAACATATAATGTACATTTTATTATAGCAAAGTAAAACAAGTAGTATTAAAAAAATACTGATAAGCTGCAAATTATGTAGATAGATTTAACAGGATTAATGAAATAAAAAAATTTAAAACCAAACAATTTCTTATTGATGTAAAGCAGCTGTAAAAAAACTATATTAAAAGCTCTAAAAGTATTATATTAAATTATAATTTAATATAACACTTTTAGAGATCTGTTTTGTTAGCATTACTAAAAATATTACCAACAGGTTATAGTTTTTGTTTCATCTTGATCAAATAGAGGGAAGTTCAACTTTTGTAGCTTGCTGCCGAGAACTTTGATTTTAAATGAATTCTGATATTTTTTGGCATTGCATCTAATCCTCCCAAGTGTCCTTAATTGCCCTGTCATTTCATGGTTTCCAAAATCTTTCTTTAAAGTTTCACACCAAGAGTATTTACAATCTTGAAAGAAACTCATGATCTTGGCAATTGTTGCCATGATCATGAGTTTCTTCACAAAAGACTGAGAAGATGCACCTTTTGAATAGGTAAACTTATGCATTGTTTCATATTTTTGGCTATCCAATATATTCATACAAACCTTGAGAAACTTATCACCTCCATCAATGCCTATTTTGATCATATAATCGCCTGGTGGAAGGTCTTGATGGTCAAGGATGTGTTCAACCAAACCAAAAATGTCATCACAAAAAATAACTGAGCCCTGAGCCCTTCCACTTTATTCATCACCATAGGAAACATCAAGGTCCTTTATTGTTGAATTATTGAATAAATCAAGTGCTTTGTCTCGTTGATTTGATTTTCCAACCAAAACTGATTCAATTGATTTGCGACCACTTCAAGTTCTGAAAAAAGTAGCTGCTATAGAAATTTGTTTCAAGAGAGATCTAAAGTAGATTGCAATCTACTAATTATCTCAGCAAAAAAAAGAATTCAAATGGAGACATGATCTTGATTTTTGAGAATGCGCTACTGCAAGTCTGGCTTTTTACAGAAATGACAAATGCAAAATTATGAACGTTATAAACAAAAATTGACTTTTTTTTTTCTTCCCTAAAACCATAAATTTTCATTATTATTGCTTTTACCTTGACTGGAAGCCAAGAAAACAATTTGGAAACTTTGTTTTAAAAATAAAGGAAAGAAATATTTTTTGCATTTTAGGGTTTTGAACGAAAGGTTAAAATAGCCATAACTTTCTCATACATTGAAAAATATTTTTAAAAAATTTGTAAAAATCATCTCCATGCATATACCTAGTACAAAAATTTTGTGAGAAAATTTTTTTTTACCTTGATGGTAATTCCATACCTATGTGTGTTATAATACTGATTTCAAAAGAATGACAAATAAGTACTAGGTAAAAAGTAAAAATGAAATTTATTTTAGCAGCAAAATCTTTTACAAACTCATTCTCTGCCTCCAGAGCTGCCTTAGAGGAAGATGGATAAATCTGACAAATGTTAAAAAAACAAAATAAAGCAAAAACTACTTTTGATCCTTATCTTTGGTGAGTGTTTATTGTATTTCTAAAAAAGAGGGATTGTTATTAATTCAAAAACATACAAAACATATACAAATTATTATAATATATATTATAACATGTAATGTTCATAAAGCAGGTGATGCAAATTAATAACTAAGCTTTTTTTTTATAATCAGATATAAGATTCGAAAATACTAAGTAATTGAAAAACTATTTGGTAATCCTATTGACCCTTAAAACTACTCTAAATGGTTCTTTTTAATTTCTTGTTCTACATACTGATTTGTTCTGGAAATTTCCAGCCTGAATGGTTCCTGATTCCAAAACTTTTTCACTGAGTTTAATTTTTTTTTTTTTTTTTTTCATGAGCATGCAAGCTACTACATAGCTTTCAATAAATCATCTGCATTGTACATTTGGTCAGTAAACCAATGGTCCGCCCATCTATAAAAGATGAATCTACAAATGTAGAGTTGTGAGTCTCTTCTCTCTGGTAGAAGAATAAACGCCAAAAGAGCTAGTATTGCCCAGGAATTACATCTTGCATTATTTAATTTAGGCATTTTCTGAAACTTCATTTTAGAAAATACTCCAGATCATCATGCTGTTTTAGCCCTTTACCACTCCTTTACCATTCTTGAAATTCTTCCTAAGCTATTCTTAGTTCAGTACAATATTTCCTGGATAATTAGATAACAGATAATACTGTCAAGAACATGATGCTTTTTTGACTGGTGCTTGTAACTTAACTTTTCTTTGATTATTCTTTAACACTAATACTTGATATTTTTGTTGACAAATACGTTTACCATCAAAATGCTGTGACCAGCAGTAGTGTTTTCTTTGTTACCATCAAAATGCTGTGACCAGAAGTAGTGTTTTCTTCATTTCTTTAAGTTTTCTTCATTTCTTTAAGTTTAACATCTTCTTTAATAGTTGGTCTAAATATACTAGAATATGAAGGTGTCAGAATATCGAACTCATCTTGTGACAACTGTCAACAAATGGTTGCTGCTTTGCTGATTGATAACTTTACAGATGTTACTAATTTGGTTGCAGTTTTGGTTTTGTTGTAGTTCTTGCTGGTATTTGTGGACTGTTCTTTTGAATCTTCAGACCTTATTCAGATATTCTGCCTCAGACTGGGATACAGAAGTTGACGTTGTTGTTGTTGTTGCCATTACAGAATAACACAACTAGTGGAATCAAGAGATAATATTGATGAAAAATCCTTTTCAAACTATTCAGCTTTGTCTTTACGTGAGGTGAAAAATCTGAACCATACAAGAGAGGTGGAACAACAGATTTACCCTTAATATAGATACTGTTAAAGATTCTCTAGAAGTCACGAGTGCCTAATTTTTGAGATGAAATAGGAGATTTCGTGAACTGAAAATAGCAGGCTTTGGCATTATACAAAACCTTTTTACAATAGTTTCTAGCAATAATAAAGAGATGTCTGTTATCTAAAGAATTGTTTTGCTGATAGATATGAAATTAATGGTTATAATTGGAAATTGCAGCAGCACAATGCGAGGAAAACCATGGAGAAGATTGAGGCTTGACTCATTGTTGATAGCGAATAAAAGATTCCGTGCCAGCCTCAATCCAAGAAGTTACGTAAGAATCACATTTTTTAGCAGGAAGACAAAAGATTTCTAGCCAAGGGCCATCACAAAGAATATTATGAAAAGAGTCCCAGTCAGCTTAAAGATAGTTGTAAGAGGTACGATGATAAGGGGATTCTGATGATGAAGAAGAATCGGATAATAGTTTTAGAGAGATCAAACCGTGACCAGAAGCACCTAAGGGTGAATGTGGAGAAACTGAGCACTGATTAGGATCAGAAACAAGAAATAAGTCTAGTAGAGAATATAAATGTTTTTTTTTTTTTATTCAACCATATCAATAAAATTTACAAATTTCATTGTAAATTAATATAAATTGGTTAGGTGTCACTCATATAGTTACAAACTAGTCAATGGAGTGACACCTAAAAAACATAAAAATTTCACGAAAAAATAAATAAATAAATAAAAAAAAAAGGAAAAACTGAACATCTGTATATATAAATAAGAGAGAAAAGGAGAAAAGATTGTTAAACAAATAATAATGATATATGTAATAATAATAGTAATAACACAAAATAATAATAATAATAATAATAAAGTACCAATAATATAAAGAATATTATAATACAATATAAATTGTATGTACAAATCATATATGATAATTAGATATAATAATAACATAAAATGTAACATTAATAACACAATAATAAATAAATATAAGATTAATAAATAATAAATAAAATAAAAATCAAACCACTTGTTCGTTAAAGATATTATATATTGAAGACAACTACAGTACAGAGTGAAATTATAAAGAAATACACTCCAACAATATATTTTTAAATTGAATTCTGTTGAGCAGTAAAAAATTTGTAACAAAAGGATATTTTTTCTTAGACTTTTTTATTAATGCAGAAATACACTGGTTCCATTGAGAAATACATTGTTGTTTTATGGAAAACTTACCATATTTAATTGTGTTGAAAAAAGAATAGTATAGCTTAGGATTAGAAAAAGGGCTTGGTAGTTTTTTTTTGAGAAAGCCAAACACAAAAAGACAATTATAAAACTTTACAAGATTATGGAGTTTTAGGATTTTTAGTTCAGAAAAATTTTTTTCGATATCAGATCTCAAAAAATATATATCCAGAATATATATCCGTCTAAAAAATATATATCCAGTTTTCTTTAAAAGGAAAACGTCTTTCTTCTTTTGATTTGGATTGTGTTGGAAAGTCGGCTATTTGAGTTAGAGATTAAAAAAGGCAAAATTTGTGAGCTTTAATGCCTGCAGAGTCACTGACACTAGAGCCTAGCTATTCAGTTTGATGAGCATTAAAATCACCAACAACAACGATATTGGCTTAAGGATAAAGAGAAAGGGCTTGGTCAATTTGATCAGAAATAACATCAAAAAGAGTGCAGTCTTGAGATGAAGGAGAGTGATATAGAAAAAGAAAAAGGTGAAAGAATGAAGTGGTGCTAAACAAAAGTGCATAAAAGAATAGTCTGTGGATTCAAACTTAGTATCTTGACAAATAGGCGAATTCTTACGAATGGAAATCCCCAGGCCAAGCATGTGACTCTTGGAGTCTTTATGAATTAAAGGAAGATAACCATTA